CGCTCTTCCTTTTTAATGGTCTGGATGTTCCACCAATGATGCTTCCTTTTTCCTGAAATTCTACTGTCTGTTAGCTGTTCCTGGTAAGGAAACTGTTATTTCACACAGCCCTGCAGCTTTTTTTTTAAAGTCATTTCAATTGTTATATTTGTTTTTGCTTTTGCTTTAATGTTAAACTGGATAATACAGCCCTAGGCCCCTAGCATGCAAGTAAAGCTTCTAGTTAACTGGAGAAAAATGTGTTGTTTTTATGAGATGATGCACCTCATCATCTGCACACCTCTTCCCCCACTTTCCAAATTCTAGATTTGCCCACGGAAGTCACAAATGGGAAACATGTTGAAATGAACTGTTTCTTACATAACATCCTTGTTATGGATGCTGGAGGATACATTTAGCATATTTATCTAGTAAATAATTGTAAAAAAACCAAAAGAGAAACAAAGCCACAGAAACTGCATTTCCAATGTATACATTTTAAAATATTTGGATGTTTTAGGATTCAAAGCAAGGTCTCCAAAGCTGTATGTTTCCTTTAGCAGCCTAATCTTGACTAATTAATGCATGTACAAGAAATTCAACAGCTACATTCACTGATCATGTAAAAATCTAATTGTAGGTGATCTTGTATTTAATTCAAAGTGTTGTAAACACGACAACACCCTTCATTTGAATAGGTTTATATTAAGGCTAATACTTCTTTTGATGGCATTTCTTGTCTCATTTCAGTGTTGCGTTTTTCAGATAGTTTAATAAGATCTTTTAAAGAGGGAAAAAAAAAGGAAAAAACTATTTCATTCCCATATAGAGATTTTTAAATTGTCAATATTTATTAGCCAGAGGCACAAAGAGGTCTAATTCCAGGAGCATGCACTAGTTTTTTTGCGATACATACTGAGACATATGGTGTACTTTTGGGGTAACTTTTAATCTGACGTACAGGGCATTAGGGGCCATTCTACTTTAAGCAGGTTAACAGGTGTAAACAAATTGATTTTTTTAAGTTGCTATTCTACAAAAATAAACTGCCTCAGAATATATATCGCTTGATGCTGAGACAGCATATCTGCATGAAAGATTTGCACTGGTATAATTACATAGATGTAGATGCACTAATGCATTATTTTTTCTTGTAGGCAGTTCCCATTTCTAACAGGTGTTGAATACCAAACTAGTGAGAGCAAGGTACTTATAGTATTCTTAAAATTAACTTTTTACTAAACACAACCTCTTTAGGTGACCCAATGAAGAATGTCTTGCATAGAGCTTGTCTAACCCTATCCCAACTATGCTGTTAGTCCAACAAAAGATATCAGCCTAAGACAACCATGCCTTTTGTTATAATTTTCAATACACTTTAAAGTGAGAAGAAATGAATAGAAGATTGAAAAGAAATCATGATCTGAGTTCGGAGCTGAATGAAGGCAAGGGGGGAAAAGTTTTAAGATTTGATAAAAGCCATGCAAACACATCTATGATTCAATAGAACTGGGGTTTTTTTTCAAAATGCAAGGACTTTTCTCATGTTTTGTTTTGAAATGTATCACTGTAAAACCAACACAATTGAACTGTGGCTTTTAACTTGCTAGTGCATGCAGGAAAATTAACAAAAAGGTGTTACGTGGTTCTAATCCTAGAATAAAAAGTCATTGGAACAAATGATCAAGGATGGCAAGGCTGTTCCTAATCCCTCCCCCATGCCCCCTTTCTTTTTTAACCTTTGGTATAAAAGCTCTCATGAACCCCAGTTTGGTTATCCCTAATTAGCCAAACCTTCCATTGATTATTTTATTGAAGTAAAACCCATTTGGCCAAATTACTCGCAGGTGAATTACACCAAAGATTATCGTAGGAATGAATATAGTCAGTGTTTCTCAGCTCAGCTACTGATTGTTGAGGTGGTGGAGTACCATATGAATTTTACTTAACTTCCTTGGTTTAAAGTTGATTCCAGAACTTCAGCTTGAAGAATGGCTCAGTTGTTTTTTCTGACTTTAACTCAAATCTGTAACACTGTTTTGTTTATTCAAATATCTTATTAGGACTCCATGATGCAGTTAGATAATATGCAACTCCCTGTTCAGAGCTGGGGTGGGGAGAAGGGACTGCATGTGTACATCTGAAGGCAGATTTCGGCCTAATGATTTTGGCACTAGATTTTGGCCTCTGTTTCAATCCAGTGCTGTAAACACCAGCCTAAATATCCAGTTTTCTCTACTTGACAGGGAGGGACTTTTTACTTGCACTAGCAGAACTGTAACTGGGCGTTGAGCAGTGTCAGTGGCTATGCTGCCACTGGCATGGCGATGGCAATCCCAGCAGTGCAACTGCTGCTATTTTTTTTGTACTTCCTACCCTACCTCTCAGGGTCAGGGTCCAGGGCTGGTGCCCCAGGTCTGCCTCCCACCCCTCCCCCTTGCTTTGCTACACTACCACAGGCAGATGCTGCCCTGTTAGGAGGGGAGTGTTATTTGTTTGTGCATCTTGCATTACAGGTCAGTGGAAAAACTGCATAAACAGCATTAGAGGCTGAGGGTAGACTTATTCATGTGGTGCTCCATCTGCTTGAAACTCTCCTAGTGGGGCTAGAATTGATGCCCAGACTGCACTATTTGTAGAATTATAGAAAAGAATGGAAATTCCACAGCCTCCCTAGGTAGCCTGTTCCAATGCTTAACTACCTTGATAGTGAGGGAAGTTCTTGCTAATATCCACTGCATTTCCTCTCCTGCAGTTTAAATCCATTGCTCCTAGTCCTGTTGCCTACAGCCACAGAGAATAGTCTATCTCCATCTATCCTTTATAGGTATTTGAAGAGTGTTTGAATGCCCCTTCAGTCTTCTCTTCTCCAAACTAAATCCCGGTTCTTTCAGGCGATCTCTGTAAGTCACGTTTCCTAGAGCTTTAGTCATTTTTGCTGCTCTCCCCTGGACTTCCTAATCTGTTCAGTTCTTTCCTGAAGTGCAGGGACCAAAACTGGATACAGTACTCCAGGTAAGGCCTTACTAGTATTCAACAGAATGGAAGAATCGCTTCCTTTGATTTTCCTTTTAATACATCCCAGTATTCTGTTGTACGTTCTTGCAACAAGAACACATTGTTGCTTCATATTCAGCTTATGGTCTACTGCAGGGGTAGGCAATGTTTTTTGGCCAGAGTGCTGAAAAAACCACAATGTCTACCTTGGAAGGTGCCAGAGTGCCGACATGCCGGAGCCCGGAGCAGCCGTTTGAAGCCTCCCGGCTGCAGCCGGCCCATGGAGCCCAGTCTGCTTACAGCAGGGCTTGCAGCCTCCCAGCTACCTGGGAGCAGCCTGGGCTCTCTGCCTGGCAGCAGCTGCTTAGAGCCCGGGCTGGCAGTAGTATTGCTTGGCATGTGCGCCAGGGGTTGCTGACCCCTGGTCTACTGTAACCATTCCCTGACTTTGCTGAAGTCTGCTTTCCTGAAATCCAGTATCTGTATTGTGCTGCTCTTCTAACTTCCTCCCCTTATTATCTTAAATACTATCATTTTGTGGTCAGCCACCCTAGTTACCTTCCACCTTCACATTCTCATCCAATTCTTCCTTGTTTGTGAGCAGTAAATCAAGAAGAGCTCCCTGCTTAGTTGGCTTGTGTACCAAAAATTTATTTCCATCACACTGCAGCAATTTCACTAGGGAACATTAGCACAGTGCACTGACCTGCCTCCACCCCCAGCATTGGAAATACTTGGTATTGGACCTCTTTTCTCACAAGGTACCAGAGTGCCAAGTTCTGTTCTTTGCGGCCCAATTTCAAGGTTGCCTTCTCTATCCAGCAGGTGCCAGGATGCTGAGCAGAGCTGCAAGGAAAGCCCTAATGATGAAAGAAAGCCCCATAATGCTGAGCAGAGCTGAGCAACAGCCTGCTGAAGAACAGCTTGCAAACCTTGATTCATAGGTTTGCAAGCTGTCCATTTGCTGGACTGCTTGTGCACTGCTGTGTTTCCCTCCCAGCAGATGTTCCAGTAATTAAATGTCCCCCAGGAGGAGCAAGTCCTGCAACCTGGAAGCTTCCATCCATTGTTTAAAGAAGGCTTTGTCCACCTCCTCCTGGTCTGTCCACTTCCTCCTTCTCCACATGCCTTCTGCTGCTTTCCCCTCTGACCTTTACCTAAAGGCTTTCAACAGGCCTATCTTCTACTTTACGTTGCACCTCAGAACAAATGTACATTGTAGGTCAACACTGTAGGTATATGTAGGTCAACATCACCTCCTTTTTTCCCCCCCTGCCTATGCTTCCTGAGCAACCCTTCCACGACCATATTCTGGTCATGTGAACCATCTCGCCAAATCTCCATGGGTGCCTTTTAGACATGTGGGGGTGCTGCTCCAACTTGCTGTAATTACAGCGTGTCAGAGCAGACTCAATGAATCGAGTCCGCTGGAGTGTGCTAATTAGCACACTCCAGCCAGCTTCCACATTTTATGTATTTAGTGTTGCTGCACTTCAAAATGGCTGTGGGGGTGCTTTAACTAAAGCTTGTTGAATGAGCTTTAAAGTGCCCCCTCTGCTATTTTGAAGCATGGGGCGCTGAATGTGAGATGCCAGAAGAGAAGAGATTTGACAGCAGAGTACCAGCTGATGTCCCATATGCTGGGGTGAGTTAATAATAAAGGGCTGGAGAATGCTGAATATTATACATGTGTGAGATTTGCTAACACCAGTTAACTAGGCTTTATTTTCCTCTCTCAAGAACAGGCACATACTCCTGCCCATTCGGGCTTTCCTTGCATGCAAAATTACTGTAATAAGGACTGCCACTTGAAAATTTCTAGTGGATGAGACTTTCTTTAAACAACTAACGGAAGTTTTCATACCACAAGACCTGATTCTCATGGGTTACTCTAATTACTGTGACATTTGCTGGGAGAGAAACACAGTGGCGTGCAGCCTATCCGGCAAGTTCTTGGGGTGTGTTGGGAAGAACCTTTTGGTACAGGTAGTGGAGAGACCAACTATGGAGGGAAGCTATTCTCTATTTGCTGCTCACAAACAGGTAACAAATGGGTGAGAATGTGAAGGTAGAAGGTAACTTGGATAACAGTGACCACAAAATGATAAGCATTCATGATCCTAAGGGAAGGAAGGAAGAAGAGCAGCAAAATAAAGGCATTGGACTTCAGAAAAGCAGACTTTAAAAAACTCGGGGAAACTAGTAGACACGATCCCTAGGAGACAGAGTCTGGGTGTGCTGCTTGTACAAAACACACAAACAAACAAACACCGCCCCCCCCTTTGCTAAGGGTGCAGGACTAGATATTCCAAAGCAAAGAAAGAATAATATGGGAAGCAGGAAAATGGCCCAGCTTAACTGTCAGCTCTTTAGTGAACTAAAACACAAAAAGGAATCCTACAAATGTGGAGAGTTGGGCATGTTACTGGGGAATGCAGGGAAAAAAATTAGAAGGCCAAGGCATGATTTGAGATGCAACTGGTAAGAGACAAAGTAACAACAAGGATTCAACAAGTATGTTATAAATCAGAGGAAGATCAAGGAAATTGTAGGCCCCTTACTAAATGCAGAAGTTACAAATCATGCAGAGAAGGTTTATGTATGTAATGCCTTTTTATTTCAGTCTCCAGGCTAGTTACCAGATGATAAGTGCAGTTGGCAGCAAAGATGGGAAAGGAGATAACTAACCTAAAGTAGTGGAAGAACAGGTGAAGGATTACTTAGAAGCTAGATGTTTTGAAGTTGGCAGGGCTGGAAGGGATGCAGCATAGGATACTGAAGGAATTGACTAAGGAAATTGCAGAGCCTTTCGCTATCCTCTGAGAATTCATGGTGGTTGGGTGAGGTCCGAGATAAAAGGCAAATATAGTGCCCATCTTTAAGAAAGGGAATAAGGAAGTTCTGGGGAATTATAGACCAGTCAGCCTGACCTTGATACCTGGAAAGATCACTGAGCAGGTCATCAAGGAGTCTCTTGTGAAGCATCTAAAGAAGAATGAGGCGATCAGGAACAGCAGCGTGAGTTTACCAAGAGCAAATCATGCCTGACCAACTTGATTTCTTTTTATGATAAGGTGACAGATTGTGGAATCAGGGATGTAGTATAGCTTGACTCTAGCAAGGCTTTGGACACTGTCTCATGACATATTCTCATTAACAGGCTAAGGAAATACAGACTAGACAAAAGTATTAGAAGGTGGATACATGTCTGATTGGGTTATTGTGTTCAAAGTCTAGTACAGGGGTTCCCAAAGTTTTTATGCTGTGGCCCAGAAGTGGCCGTGGCCTGGCAAGCCGCAGCCCAGCAGTCACAGCCAACTGTGGCCAAAATTTCCGTCCGGAAGACAGGTAAGGATACCCCCAGCCCCTGAGCATGGGGAGGGCCAAATCCTGTGCTGCTGCAGGCCCTGTGGAAGGAGCCATGGCCTCTCTGCCCAGCTCTGGGCAGCTGTGGTTTGCCAGTCCACGGCCACTTCTGGTCCAGCAGCTGACTGCTGTGGACTGGCAGCTGACCTGCCGCGGCCTGGCATTGGGGACTGAAAATCTCTGGTCTAGTTGACAAGAGGTATAAAATCAGGTTCCCAGGGCTCTGTCCTGGGTCTGGAATTGTTTAGTATCTTCACTAATGATTTGGATGATGGGATTGAGTACATGCTTAACAAATTTGTGGATGACACCAAACTGGGTGGCGTTGTAGATACTTTGGAGGGTAGAGCTAGGATACAGAATGACCTGGATAGACTGGAGAAATGATCTGTCATCAATTGGATGAGATTCAGCAAGGACAAGCGTGAAGTTCTGCACTTGGGATGGAATAACTGCATGCACAATACAGACTGGGGAATGAGTGGCTAGGCTGCAGTACTGCAAAGAAGGACATGGGGGTTATAGTAGGTTGGAACTGAATATGAGCCAGCAGTGTGCTCTTGTAGCGAAAAAAGCCAACAGCATATTGGGTTGTATTAACAGATGCATATTAACAGGTGTGTCTATTGCAAATAAAGGGAAGTGATTCTTCTGCTCTTCAACACCGGTGAAGCCTTCCCTGAAGTACTGTGTCTAGTTTAAGGTTCCATATTTCGGATAGGATGTGGACAGATTGGAAAGAGTCTGGTACAGAGCAACAAAAATGATAACAAGATTTATGAGGAAAGTCTAGAAAAACTAGTGTTACTTAGCCTGAATAAGAGAAGGCTGGGGGAAGTGGGGGGAGGGGGCAGGATTTGATGATAGTCTTTGCATACCTGAAGGGTGATTAAAAAGAGGATGGTGATGAGCTTTTTTCTCTGTGACCATAGGGGCAATCTTCAAGCTTCAGCAAGGAAAGTTTATGTTGGAGGTTAGTCAGGAACTTTATGACTACGAGGGTAGTCAAGTATTGGTATGGGCTGCCAGAGAAATTGTGGAAGCTCCACCCTTGAAAATTTTCAGGAGTAAGTTAGACAGACACTTGAGTGAGATGGTCTAGTCAGGGATGAACTGCCATGAGCAGGCAGCTGGACTAGATGACCATGTGAGGTCTCTTCCATTCCTACTTTTCTATGCCCCTGTGATGCAACTCTGTTGGGCCAGATCCATCTCCCAAAAAGTAAAATGTAATCCAGGGCCCTTATTTACAATGGCTTCAGTCCAAAGCTATGTAAGTGTCACTGGGTAAAAAACATGACCTGCCTTGGGAACAACAGTCTGAATCCATGGCTTCCTTTCTTCTAGGTTAGTATCTGTCTCTCTGAGCCACAAAGTTGGCTGCAGCTTCTTTGCTTTCCTTC